CCTGTATATAGTCTATATCAATGAGTTGACAAAAAAAATTCCAAATTTGCTGGTTTATTGTCTAAGTTGATGCATTTTCTACCACTTAAAGTACAAACCTTATATCAGCCCTTATTTATATCAGCCCTTATAAATTGTGTGTATATTATGTATGTATGTAATATTGTATGGTGTAATACTTTTCCTAGTCATAGTATCTTGAGAAAATACACATCCTACAGAAAGAAAGTCATACGTGTAACATCATGGTTCACAGTAAATGCTTAAAGCTGTACTTGCTACTAAAATATGTTTGAATCCTGAAAGGCTGCAGTCTTCAGAACTGGTTACTCTACTGAGGAATTATTTTTTAATTACCATTTATTGCTGACTGTGTTTCTTGACTACTGAATTAATGTTTGGATGTATGGGGCAGATGTTTTTAGAGCATTTAGTTATTCTTTTTAGGGTTTTAGGTTTAGGATTTAAGCTTATTTTGTGGCTGACATTGTATAAGTACATGCAGAGACTGACCCCTGTTCACAAGCTTCTGAAGTTTATTGGGGTGTCCCATTTTCACTTATTGCTATTATGTTTGAATGACGTTTCTTGTACTTTAATCTGATTTGTGTGAAATAAATGAAATGAAAAAGTCACTATAACACAATTAGAGTTTATTTTCCATATAAAATATTTTTTACAATAAACATAATAATGCCATGTGTTTTCAAAAGTAACCATATGTACAAAAATGTTGTAAATTGTCCAGCATTTATGGACAGTTTTAACTTTGAGAATGATACAAAAGGATGCTTCTTGGAAATATTTCAGTTACAGGAAATAAAAATGCAGAAGAACCTAGTTACAGTTTTTTTCCTGTACCCTGAAGTAAGAACAATTATTACACAGAAAAACTCAACCCAAAAAGGCAAATGTAACATATCATGTCACCAATGGCACTGGAAAATTAACTTCCACACTGCATGGACTGTTTCTGCTGTGGAGATTGTTACTGATAGTTTGACACCAGTACTCAGTACTCAGGAATGAGAGATCATACAGAGACTCGTACATTGAATTTCTAATTAAAAAAAAAAGAAAAAAAAAGCTTTTCAAGATTCAGATGGTACTGTGTTAAAACCAACTACAGCTGCACCTTTCAAAGCTTAAATGTGAGACTGCTCAGCAGAAAACAGGAGCTTAGTCAGTAGCAAAAGTGGAAGTAGCGTGACATTGATGTACTGCTGCAAAAAGCTTTAGGTGGGAGGCTGGAGTGGGTGGTTGGGTGCACAAAACGTGACAGTGACGCTTAACCTTAGTATTGTAGAGCGTCTACGCCCTCACAATATATACGCCCTATACAGTCTCAGTTTGCTTTGCCAAATGTGTTTTGGAGGTTACGTTTTGCCAAGATTGTGTATTTTTCTATCTGCAATGCCACAGTGAAATCGAAAAGTACATACGTAAATGCGGTGGATCATTTGGTGTACAAAGCACTCTCAACCCCTGGGACCATGGTTCACATCAGTGTGTCCCATATTGTTAGGTTTGAGCTACTAAAACACTTGGTTAAAGGGACACTCCAACAATTTAGTATTCCAGTTTCATAAAGTATGGGAGCTCACAAGAGGTTGATTAGAAAACAGAATGATTAAAATTGGAGCATAGGTCAGGATACCCCGACTTTTAGTTTCCAAGACGGGTTAAGCTGTAAAAACATAGAATCCTACATTTCCCACAATGCAACAAATAGCATCTTTAATTAGACCTGCAGTACATGGTAAGTCTATCACACCTCAGTCCCGGTATGTAAGAGGTGTTCTGTCATAAATTTGCAGTCTCCTACCCTAAGTCAAGATATGGTACTCAAAAAATTCTGGATCCTACATTTCCCATAATGCAACTGATCATAGCATCTAATAACAGCACTCATTAGACCACTCACTTCTTTCCATACCTCTAAAGCCTAAAGCTCAGAAACTTTCGAAAGCATCTTCCAGAGCAACAAACAACATTATACAACTGTTTCACTGACTGAATTGTTCCTGTAGTGATGAGAAAACTGAAGTGCATGTTTTAAAATCACTGACGTGTATTTAAGATAATTATAATATATATTAAAATAAAAAGAATAAAAACTTTTTCAGTGTCACTTATTAACCAATGCCATCTCCCTTTCCTTAACCAAATGATTTAAGTTTGCCAGGACAAAACCGTAAAAACTTGAACCATGCTTTAGCTATTGTAGGGAAAACAAATGAACTGCGTAGACAGATATGTTCAATATAAACCTTTCACCAATAAGTTGATACAAAAAAATCCCAAGGCCAATGAAAATTAGTTGTATATGAATATTATATATTAGGGGGCAGGGTCTCTTCACATTTCCATCAGGCCAATATTTCCATTTGTGCATAAAAAAATGTCCAACAGGCAGATTGTCATTAAATCTATTGAGCACATTCACGCTCCTCAGAGGATGAACCCATTACATGTCAAATTTCCTCTAGCACCAGCGTCAAGGCAAAACCTTGTACACAAGATAAGCTACAATTTAATATATGCACTGCAATTTATTTAATTTCTTAAACACATTCATGGTCCCCAGAGGACCAGCCCTTATGATTTCAATGACCCCATACATTCACACTAATATGTAGGGAATATTAGGGCACTACTGGAAAGACTCTGAAAATAATAAAAGCTATTTAGTGCTGTGCGATCTCGCCTCTTTGAGGGCTGCAGGCCTGGCTATAGAATTTTATTTGTGTTGATAAAACACTTAAAATTTAAATAACATAACGGCTGCAAAATGAAAACTGAAAGGTTAGAGGTTTAAAACATAATTTGGCAACATTCAGCAAAGTAGTCTGATATCTTCACACAGTAAAATCATATTTTCATTAATAATTAGAAAGAAAACGCACTGTAAAAATAACAATAGCAATAAATAGTTGGAGAGTCAATCTAAAAATCGCTACTCCTCCTGTTGCCCTAATGCGAACATGTACATTCTTACCAAATTTTAAGACTTGAATGACTCGGTACACCACAGCTTGCTACTCTTACAGCTGAGATAAAAAAAATTTCACTTTGAGAGCAACAAAACAACAGTTTGGAAACTGGCATCGTGAAAGAGGTGTTTGTTGCAAAGTATCTGGGGCTCCAAATGTCTTTCACAGAGTTTGGTGATGAAATATTTTTCAGGTCAATCTTAACCATACATGGAATTTTAATTCTCTCTTCTCAGGAATCTGTAACAACATCCATTTCCTAAAAAACAACCAACAATTCCTGTAAAAGGCAAGAGCATAAATTTGTGTGTGTGTGTGTGTGTGTGTGTGTGTGTGTGGGCGGTGTGCTCCAAGAAACACAGTTTCCCTGCTTATTCCTCTAGTGAATGCTTATTGCTTTTTCTGGATCTGATATTGCCTCTCTTTGACTCTCTCTTTAACAACACAGGAAAGCAGCTGCTAAACTCAATGAGGGGGTCAACAAATATATTTTAACACATTAATGTCCACAGTGGAAATTTATCATTTACTTTACAGCTCTTAAAGTACTACCTAAACACAAATCCAATGAAATATTTCAAATCAACAGGTTTTCAAGTTTTGCATGGTATTCTTAACATCCTTTTTTTTTTAGTTGTTAGCCCAAGGGGTTACTCATTTTACAGGTTTTCACAAAAACACTAAAAGGTTTCTATAATCATGTTCAACATGTTCAAAAAATATGCACCTAATGACCAGATAGGCTCTGGAAGTTAGAAATAATTATGAAAAAAGATTTTCTGAGGCACTTTTAGGGAGAAATGATGAGAAATGCATTTCTATGAGGTTTATGGGTATGGCTGTATTCTCAGGAATTCTACATAACTTCATTCAATAAAATCAAAGAAGGAAAGCGCTGTCCTACAGACAGTTAACCAGCTAGCCGTTGGGAAAGTTAACTAACACAGTTTATTAAATTAATTTAATAAATTTAATTAAAAAAAACAACATGTTCTTGAATGATCATTTTCTGGGAAACCATCCCTCTGTTATGTGGGAGTTGATATCCCGTCAGAGGAGGTTAAATAAGGCAATTGTGCAACAGACCAGACGAGTAAGTCAACACAGTTTTCCAAAGGTCAGCTCTGTCAAATAATTCTACTATTGTAAATGCCACAGAATGTATGGAACAGCCTTTTTTGGCATTGTCATTAGGGATGTTACACCATAAAATCTCAAATAAAAGCCAGTATTTCAATAATGAAAGAGTCTCAAATAACAACCAACATCATAGCCATCACTCTGCTACACTGAATTTCTCTTTATAAAAGAACTACCGTTTTAATTAATTATTTATAAATTACATCACTTATTTATTTAATTATTTCCAATCATTTAACTTAACGTTTTTCAGAGCATGGTTAAGTTACTCTCAGTAAAACTCTGTACTTCCTGTTTCAAATCAAAAGCCTACCAGGACTATGATGAGCCAATGGGAGGCTTTTGTTGTGATGCAGGAAGTACTATTTTTTCACTGATGGTAACTTAATCGAGCACAACAAATATAAAATGAAAGCTACTGGAGATGATCAATATTTCAGTTTTCTTAAACTCAGAGGTGAGTAGAACAAAACCTTGTCATGGAACTGATTGAATTAGTGCTGTGGAAATGCATAATATTAAAAATTTAATTAAAGTAAGTATTTAAATAAACATGGAGGAAGTTTTGAGTTGACAGCAAACTGTATCGAGAGCAAATTAGATTGGGAGCAAATCAAGAAACAAGAAGGCGTCATTCTAAAATAGGATGAGATATACTTAAAGAAAAAACGGGGGAATAGAAATAAAGGCCTGTCAGTAATATAAACTTGTATACATCTGCAGCTGAGGTAAATAAAGGCCACTTTTTGAGACTTTATGGTAATCCACGGGCACAGAAGAACAATGCAAGATAAGTCTATATAATATTAATAAACAAGAAAAAGAGTGATGGGTAAAAATAGACAGTGAATGGATTCTTACAACCCTTTCCGTCACAGTGATGGATTAGCACAGTAGAAATATGTTTTTTCACCAGAAGGGTTTACTACATGTAGAAGAAGCTGAGAGTGAAATGATGCACTGCTAACTAAGAATGTTGTAGTTGGAGTGATTTCATCATGAACTTTAAGCTTATCTTTGACCAACCTAAACATTTAACCTTTCACAAAATTATTGTGACGTATCTCAGTTTACCATGAAAGCATGTTCTGTACTTTCCCGTAATTCGAAGATACAATCAATTTCTCTGACGCATGGCTGCACTGAAGGTAGACCTAACCTCACTGGTTGATGTGAATCTCAACTGGTGAAGCCAAACAGCTTTCAAGCACAGTGAGTGAGCTAATTCCCACTTATGCAGCTAAAGATGTATGGACTCATACTTTGGAATAAATGAGAAATTAGTTAATTAAGGAAGACTTGCTCTACTTGGTTTTGCCTTATAAGTCTTATTTGATTTTATTTTAATGCATGACGACCTTTTATTAATTGTATTTATATTTTCCACATAATGTTGAATAGATTTATCTGTTTTTTTGTGCATGCATGTAATGTTGAAGCTAACGGTAATGCTAGCCTGTTAGCATCTTGTCTTGTTAGAGAAACCTTCTGTATCCTTAACTTAAAGAGTAACCCAGGTAAAAGAGGAGGTAGCCATTTTGTTATGTGAATCCAAATCCTAATTCTCCTGCTGGTTACACACACAAAAAAAAAACAACACGTCTCAGTTACAACCATTTTGCTGCTCATCAAACTAGAAACCACCATTTAAATCTGCTGTCAAACTTTGCAGGTTTAAAGTATGAAGTAGCCATTCTAGCCAGGTATCACAGTAAAGCTACTGCTAACCTGCTGACCGTCTTTAATCATGAACTCCATAATCATGAATCAATACCCTGCCCATTTCAGTTTAACTCAAATAATGAGGTTATATCTGCCTCCAGTGCAGCTGTTTCCCCACATACTCTGCCACAAATGAGTCACACACATCTCTGTAAATCAGTAATACAGTAAATCTCCTCCTCAAAACTCCCCTTGAAACACCTTGAGTGTTTGAATCAAAAGCAGCCTCTGCCACACTGCTGTGTCATCAGACGTTAGGTCCTTTGCTGTAATGTTCCCTGAGGTTGTAGGTCTGATAGCACATCGAAACATCACACACGCCTGGAAGTCCTGGGTTCCCCCGTTTACCAAGATCTCCCGGTGGTCCTGGTTTTCCAGGAATTCCCTGGTTGCCCGGGTGGCCGATTCCATCGAAGCCACGAGGACCCTGCATTCCTGCAGCGATAAGGAAAAACAAAACAAAAAGGAATTATATTTAGCTGTTGCATTTATGTAAATAAAGTCAAAGTTTCTATTACATTTGATTCATAGTTGTCTTTCTGCTGGGTCATAAATGACATCTACTCAATCTATATGTGATGAGTTTATAGGCTACTATGGCTTCTACAGTGAAACACTGCACTAACTCTCTGTAACCTACCTGCCTCCCTCACCCCACCGACCAAGCTGTAACTAAAAGTACTCATTGAAAATTAAGTACAAACAGGATCCATCCACGCATATTAAAAATTTAAGATTACAAACAGCCCAGATGTCTGTTTGTTAAAAGTGCACTCATGCACAGATCTGAAAGCTCAGATGTCAGAATGCCAAGGTTGCTAAAATAGCTGCAACTCCACAAAGTGGCATAATGGATGGAGACATTTAAGAAAACATGCTGATAGGAGAGCTTTTTACATACCTGGCTGTCCAGGTGGTCCCGGAGGTCCAAGGTACCCTTCTCCTTTGCTGCCTTTCAGACCTCGTGGTCCCATGTCACCTGGGGACATAATATGTCTGCTTTTAAAAAACTGCAATTAGAGTGTCTATAAATGAGCTGTCAGGTTCAGAGCTGCAGGAACGTTCCCTCTAAACCAACTGTGTCCAGACCTGTCTGAAGACTTTCATTAAAAACTAACACAACAGCGATTATTTAACTAATTTTGAACTTTTTTTTTTTACGATCTTATATAACCAAATTATCTAAAAAACCATCAGACAGGGTTTTAAAAAGTTTAGATCAACATTATTATCCAAACAATTTATGTGGAAGTCACATTTTGGGCGTCTTTGCTTTGCTTTGCTTTGCTTTAAGTATGAAACAACAAACACAATTCTCTGCAGGTCAAATAATAATAATAATAACTCAGGCAGGCTGCACTCAAACACAACAGTGCTCTGAGCTAAATGCTAATGCCAACATGCTCACAGCAACAATGCTAATATGGTGATGTTTAGCAGATATAGTCACCATCTTAGTTCAGTGTAAAAAAGTGTAAAATTGTGGCTAAAAAGCCTTTGGTGGATTCTCTCAGGTAAAATCTGTATGCGCAGGTGGCCGAGCTGAAGAGGAAGGAGGAGGAGGCCGAGGAAGATGTCTTTGCATGAAATTAGAGATAGTTTGGTGGTCTAAGATGCTAAACACATAGCCTAGCAAGCTGTAGGCAACAAGCCAGATGGATGACGGACGCAGTGCTTATTGCAACCTATTTCAGAAAGACAAGGACACCAAATCTAATCGTTTGGAAATGTGAATCCTCACATTGACTCCATATTCTTGCTGCATGACAGTTAAAAAAAATATGCAATAATATTTTCCATAGACGATTTTTGAATCTAAAGTGTTGGAAAACTTTAAGCCATCAATACACCAAGGACTAACGCCACACAGTTCTCATCAATTACAGGTTCATGCTCTCATAGACATAGCATCATTCACAACTCACAGAACCAGAAAAAGAATCATTTTTACACCAACCTTGGCTCAAATTACTCTCCATGTGAACACAGGTAAACTAAACTAAAATTTAAAGACCTCCAGACGTCCATAAACGTTGGGCAAGAGACATTAAAAAGAAGGATGGATGAAATCAGTGGAGGAGAGAAATAGACGTCCTGACTTGTAGTAACCCTTCCTGCCTGATAAATATTCACTGGTTTCAAACTCCATGCCACCCTTTGGAACTGCAGACTTACTGATAGAAGAGTTGTCTCCAAGTCTCGATGTCCTGATGACATCGTAGTAATATAGAAGACATTATACCACTGTTTTTGATATGTAAAACCTGCAGACTGGCCCTTTAATTGTGCATCGCTGAACAATATAGAAAATATCATCCAACTAGGCAACTATAAATGAATGCAATTACCTTTACATGAATTCCAGGATGGTGTGTGAACAAAACGTGTCATCAAGGACACACACAAAGCATCCAACATAATTCTTTTTCTCCCTGCAGTCAGCTCTCGGTTTCTTCCCTCAGTGCTTCTAAACAGGCTTGACACCTCTAAAGTTGCTGTTCTCCTGACCAAACAAGTTGAGATAGTACACAGGAGTGGAGTGGTACAGTTTGGCATCTTTCACAGCTGATTAGCCATTCCTTGTCTTGAAGTGGTGATAAATCAAAGACAGCTCAATGAGATGCATTCGGTATTTGTTGTCTTTTGCTCTGCTGATTTTCACTGATGTTCACTTGTTTAATGATCTTGTTTTATGGGGTACAGTGAACATCAACACATCCAATTTGTTAGTCGTTGACACTGTTTTGATTTTAATCGCTGATGAAAGCAACAGTAAATTTTGTCCTCGCTCTTGTTCATGACGTCGTCTTGTTATTTATTGTCTTATTTTCATCAGGGTAAAGAGACCGATTTTTGTCACAGTTTCAGGCAGCAGATCAGACACCATCTTAAAAGGGAGCGTTGCCAACAGATGATATAAATCTATCCTAAGGTATTGCTGAACAAATTCATACATTTTTGGTCATATCACCTTTGAGGCCTGCAGAACCCTGCATTCCAGGAGGTCCTGGATAACCTGGAGCACCACTCCTGCCAGGGTAACCTGGAGTTCCCATGGAGCCTTTGGGTCCCGGTGCTCCTGGCTCGCCCGGGGGTCCCTTCACGCTCTGGCAGGGTTCACACCTAGCTGGGGGGGCCAGGGTCTGGAGCAGCGCTGGGAGTTGGTCTGCAGGGCATAGCCACAATGTGCTGAGTAATCCATTCCACAAGTGGAATTACTTATCCTCACAACGCCTCTTCATTAACAGTTTGACCACATGATCCTCAGTCCTAGTCTTTATTCATACTTAGGCTGGAAAAAAAAGATGTTGTGCACCATGAGTAAATGCTGTTACTTCAAAAAAAGAGCTGAAGTGAGCAAGAATTAGAAATTTGGTTGATGTGATTTCTCCATTCTTGCATCTCTTCCAACTTTGTTTGGGAGGAGCTTTATTATATTTTGGGTTATTTAATGCTGTGTCATTCTTTTACAAAAAGGAGTAATGATTTAAATTGTCGAGCAGATTAAGCTGTTTAATCCCAGTTTGTTATAATCAATGTGAATCGATCAAAGGAATTATGTGAAATGTGCGACTCTACATCTTAGACAACTGTTTCAGACTGAATTTAAAGACCCTGGCTTTCCCTCTCTGGCTCTGAGCAAAGTGACATAAAAACAAACAGATACTTACTACGCAGAACATCAGTGCAGAGCTTTAGAAGATGTTCGTCTGAGGGAGGCTTGCCCTGCAACACACAATTACCCTTTTTATTTAGTTGAATCCTCTGTGGGACTCAAAAAACAGGCTCCAACTGTGATTGAGTATGCCTGCAGATTTATAGGATCTCAATGCTGCACTCTTTGTCTTCACATAGCCCACACACACTGACAGTAGCACCCCCATTACTCCCAAACATCACTCCCCCAGTCCAGACAGGAAATCACTGGCTATATCTTCCAGCCAATTTATTTATTTATTTATTTATTTATTTAGTTAATCTGTGAGGACATGGTCAGGAGGAGGTTCACTCACTGGTTTCCCTGGATATCCTGGCTGGCCTGGTTGGCCTGGCAACCCATCCTGGCCAGGAAATCCCCTAGGACCAACAGCACCCATGTGGCCCATGTCACCTTTCTTTCCTTCAGGCCCCCTGAGGCCCTCGTCACCTGTCACACCTTTCTGAAAAAGCAGGAGGAAGGACAGAAAATCTCACATTACAGAAGAAAAAACTGGTGAAACTGGCTACTGTTCTGCAGTAACTGACCAAATGATGTTGTCTCATACATAAACATCAATTGATTGTTTGCTAAGGGCTGTCCCACAGCTGTCCTGTCAAGGTTTTCTCTACTGAGATACACAGTCTTTAAAGACTTTCAAGGGTTGTGTTGTCTTTTTTTTTATCCTTTTCCAAAGCCAAAAATACAAGAGCAGAAGTATGGGAAGTAAGAAGAAGTAAGGACTGGATTAAACAGCGTTTGTCTGCTCTAACATAAGATGCAATCATTAGCATATCTAGTTAACTAGCTTACTACCTAAAGTAGTTAACTATTTCTGTGTTACTACCAATGCCAAGGAGCATCTCATTAACTGGAAGCCGGTCCTGGATGCTCACCAAGTTTAAGCCTCACCTATAGCAGCTCTGTCCTGCTCTTTATGGGTTTGGGGAAATTTACACCCCAGCGACCGCAGCCAAGATCAGATCAAACACATGAGTTAGCCCTAATCCTAAAACCCTTTCCTCTTGTAATGTTAAAAGTGAAAATAAACTGGATGAAAATATGAGCAACAATATAAGATACAATAAGCAGCCAAACAGGGTAATGTCACAACAAAATACATGGCTCAGCTGGTGAGGATGCTAACCATTAGCTACGGTGTAGACTTGTGTTAAATGCTATCCTTCAAATGGTACAGCACTGGCACAACTGAGGGGGGATACATCTCTATAAATTGTGATTCTGCAGACAGTACAGTAAGTGTTTGATATTTAAGACGTGTGCGCCTTTAGAATGGAGTGCTTTTGTGATGTATATTTTTGCCCAGGGGGGCAGATTTCCCCAAGCCTGGAGGTATTGGCTCTGTAAGTCTTCTATAGCAGCCACGCAGGCTTGACAGGGCTTCTCACTGCGGTGCAGAATAAGACAGAATGGATTATATCTAATACCGCAAAGTCTAATTCGACAAACCTCTCCTTTCCTTCCCCTGGGTCCCACTTCGCCCTGATGGAAGAAAGAAAAGAGAGCAAGAAGGGTGGGGTGGAAAGAGAAGAGGGAGAAATAGAGAGAGACAGTTAGAAACTTCTGCTTACATATCAAAGGCTGAGACAGTATGTCAGAGGAGCTGTGCTCGCTGCTCTGCATTGCTGATGCAGAACTTCTCTTTTCTGTCTAAACCGGTGGCTTACAAAACATTTTAGATTGGTTATTGTAATGCATTCTCTAAGGCTTTTTTTTCCTTTTGGCTAGTTGTTATAATGGGATGAAAAATGCATCTGCAGATCTCTTACTTCTTAAAAAACACCATCCAGTGGTAACACCAATTCTGTGAGGCTTTTAATGTAGAATTAAGTCCTAGGACATACAGTATATCTGAGGCTCTTGGTGTGTTCCGTTTCCCTTAAAATCCTTCCTCTTTTCTCTCCATATGTCTCTCTTCCCTCCATGAGCGGTTGACTGGTTTATGTGCTTTAAGAAAAAAGTAGCTTGATCTGCTTTATCAGAGGAAGCACCAGAATATCATATCAGACCACATAAACACTGCTCTCCTCCAAGCTAGCATTCATGCATACGTACTCCAACACTGGATATGTGCGACAGGTTGCTATTCATTGTAAATTGAACTTCAGAAAACATGCAGGCAACACCTACCACTACTCAGAAACTTAAAGGGCATCCAGTAGAGCAATTTGGGAAAGTCCAACTTTGTGCAGATGGCATGCTGGAGACAATTTAACGTTCAGGGAGTCCAAATTCTCCACAATAGAACTTTATAGAGCTATAGAGTGCTGCAGGAATGAGTCCTATAACCCAAATAACCCAGAACCAATTAGTTAGCATTTTAGCACATCCAGTTCCCTTGTCCCAAAGTTTAAGGGATTTTTGGTTAGATGCGTAAAAGGTCTGTGATTAACACAAGCTTAAAGGGATAGTTCTGAAAAATGTGATGCACCAAAGGAAAGTGCTGTTTTCACCGGAAGATAAACCGCTGAAAATATTCTACATGAAGTGTACATTTAAACGGATACTGGATTGTTTTGGTGGGTGTTTTCAAAAATGTCTAAAACACGCTTTTTCTGGTTGCCCCGTGCACAGCAACACGTAGCTCTGCTAGTCTGCCTGGTGCTCCTGGTTGGCTTTCCTAACTGGGAGTGCGCTGCTCAGGATCTAATGCAGGTAATGTACAGACTATGCATGGCTACCTCACACAACCCCATGTCAAAGAACCTGACCTATCCTTTTACATTTTCATATTTTTTTCTACGACATACAATATGTCAGTATATACCCAGTCGTGATTTCATTAAGCTTTTACATCTTTAAACGTTTGCTAAACCTTTACAGCCTTGTTGTGTTTATACCCACGCTCTTAAAAACTATCTTTGCAAGGGGAAATTAACCTGTTACCTCTGGTGATTGTATTTTGGCTTCAAATATCATAAAAGCTGAACAACATGTAATTATTGTAAACTGTTGTTTGTCAGAGTTTCTTTTCTGCAATACTCCAAAAGCCAATGTAAAAGTCTCATCAGCTTTTTTCCAAGGGAACCAGGGTGATGCTAACCTCAACTTGGCCTACAAAAACACAATCATCCCTGCAGCACTGTATTGGGACTTGAATAAGAGAATCAATGCATGAAACAATCTCACACCAGAAATAAATGTAACTGTCATGCATTAGTTGTAGCAACATAAGAAAATGATGTCCAGAACTGAATGTCCAAATTGATTAATTACAGCAGCAAAGGCTTGTTTTTGTTAGCCATGTTCCCACAGATGTTTTGCCTGTTAATGATCTTTCATACTACATTACATCTAAACATAGATACAGAAGCACTTGTTATTCTCAAGAAGCACTTGAGGAAAGAGGAAAGACAGGAAATGCCTGTTTATTTCCCCTTTGACAACCTTTTCTTTTTAAAACACGACCACAACCGTTTTGATGCATCATGCATCAAGATCCTGACTAAAACTAACCAAACCTTTACCACATCACTGTCATGTCATCAAGAAGATTTATTTCTCAACGGTTATTTGTAACTGAACTGTTTCTGAAACACACACGGACCTACATCCGTTGTTGTTAGATTTGGAGGATTTGTTGGACAGAATATGTGCGAATTGATTTTAATCTGTACATCTACACTGACCACACAACAGCCTGAACGCCACTGTATTTGTTTCCTCCCTTTCTTTCCTTGCTTCCTCCACATTATCGCAAGAAAACAGCTGTTGTACCTCCCTTATTACTGTGTATTTGGCATTGTATTATTTCTGGCCACTCTGTACCAATGCATCAAATTTGTGCAACCTGAGATGTGCCAATCATTTCATCCTTTTTGCTCTCCATCTCACATTAGTGAGACGACAAGTGGTGCTGTGCAGAACCCACCACTCTCCCACTGAACTGCAGCGCAGAGTCCTATTTATTTTACACAGTGGGAATCAGGAAGTCTGTCTGAAGACAAGAATATGTCATATTCATTTCAGCGGTGACACATTTGTGATTCACTGCTGATGCTTTTAGCCTTGAGGGTGTGTCACATGGAAGTTGGGCCACTCTCAACGCAATAGAATTACAGTGTGTGAACATTAAACTGCATATTGAGAAATACAATCACTTTATCTGTCTCAAGTGTCAACAGACAAGACTACACAATTCAGTTTTCACATGATGCAATATAGATCCTACACACACACACTCTCACTCACGCACGCGCACACACGCACGCACGCACGCACGCACACACACACCTCTGACTGGATTTATTGTAAGATCCATATCTAGGGATGTGACGATCGATGTCTGAGTAACTGACACTTACTGATTGATTCTTAAACGCTCATTTGCTATTGTTCCTATTAAAAAGTGTCAATGAAAAAGCTTGCAAGCTTGAAAGCTGCAAATTGTGGATCAATTAGCAATTCAAGATTATTCTTTACCAATTTTTGATGATGATGATGATGATAATCCCAGTATGGATAAACATGTTAAATCACTTATGCTGTTCTGCTTCTTTCACCTTGTGAAATCTTATTTCATCTTGTTGCCAAGATCAAATCATTCCTCACTGCCAAGAATTTTGAAAAAAAAAAAAAAAAATCCTTTCATTGTAATTGATATAATATTGACCGTCGTGTTGACCTTCTTTATCTGGTGAGCTAATAGCTAACATGCTAGCCAGCCCTAGTCTTTTTCACAGCACACCTTTTGACACTTTCAGCGTTCTGGTATTGCTCATGCTGGCTTAACCATCGTTAATGTGATTAGAAACAGCTGCTACGATGACCAGCCAAAATGTGAACTGTGAAAAAGGTGTATCGTAGTCACAAGAGCTCTATGAACTAGCTAGCTTGCTAACTATCAGTTAAATTCAGCCATCATTAACTGTCAGCTAGCAAGCTTGTTAGCTCAGATGCTAATGGGAAAATGAGAGGAAGGACATACATTTCTGCATGTCTATAAAATAACTGTCTGGCAACCATGCCTCTTTTGTGGAGCAGTTTACACTCTGTCAAACACTGGTGAAAAATGATAAAGATCAGCTTTGTAATGATAGTTTGCATACTTTGCCTCTGTGAGAAAATCCACTGATCATGGTGATTCCACTGAAATTAATCAATTTTACTGTGAAATGCTGCCGTTTTATTTGGTGTTGTGACTCCACTCTTAGACCTGCTGCCTGTCTCTTCACCGTATCAGATTTGTGTTCCTGCTCAGAGTGCCTTGAAGTTGCCAATCCGTGAGCCTGTAAAGTGACCATTGATTTTTAGTTAAATGTCTGTAATTCAGGCTGAGTGTCTTCATTGTGTCCTCTTTGCTGTTGCCAAGAATCTAAACCATGACATTACGATCCTCATATGGTTCTGAGGTTGAGCCTGAACGCCAGAGCGGGTTGTGGTTTTACCATGAGGGGGCCTGAGCCTCTGGAACAACTCCCCTAAACAGATTAGCTCAGCTAAGTCACTTACCTCCTTCTGAATCCCTGCTGAAAGTTGACTTTTTCAGATGACATTTTATTTGATTTTATGATTTTATATTACTGTCTGAAGCTTCCATGTGATTTATTCTCTCATTTTTATTTTGTCTCTTCTCATTTAATCCGTTTCCTCTTTTATTTTATCCTGCGCTGCACTGCTGTTCGCTTGCGCTGCTTTCTATTTAGTCTTTTATTGCATTTTTATGTGTTTTTATATGCTGCCTGAATTTAATCTTGTAAAGCACCTTGTAAAGTCACTTTCAGAGTGGTGTTATATTAGTAGAGTTAATTATTATATTTATTTTGCGATAAAGTTTTTATGGTGACTTGCATTAGGGGATTTATTTGATTAACTACAAACAGACAAAAATTATAAATCATTTCACATGAGTTATAACAATTATACTTATGCATGAAGTCTGCCTTGATACTAGTTTTTAATTTAATTCAAAACCTGTAGCCTCGCCTATATCCTATTTATAATCCCAACCCTGTCCCTGTCACAGCTAACCTAACTAAGGAGTTCCAATCCCAAATTAGCTCCTCATAAATGAGGACTGGCCAAGACACAGTTCCTCATTTTCATGCCCTTCTAGGGACATTTGTTCCTTATAACACCACACAGACACATAAACACACATTTCAACCCAAGTGTCTCTGCTGTACATTTGGAAACGTAAGCTTTGCTGCCATCCAGTGGAAACAGAATGACCCTTCACTCACAGATATACCAGGCGTCCCAGGGTCTCCATCTCTACCCGTCTCCCCCTGCAAAGACCAAAGACATAATACATCATGATTAGCTGAAGGTTTGTGTGAGTTTACATATGTGCTGGTGTGGCGTCATGTGTTGTGTGTGGACCTTTTTTTTTTTTGTTTTACTACATTTGTGGGGTCCGAAAACCAGGAGCCCATGATACTTGTGGGGTACAGCTTTGTTGGGGCCCAACAAATTTAAATGGCTGTTAAGGGTCAAGACTTGGTTTTAGGGTCAGGGTTAGGCATGAGTTGTGAGGGTTAAGTTTATGGTTAGGAGCACAGCAATGCATGTCTGTTGTGGGTCCCCACAAATATAGTAAGAAAAGGATGAGTGTGTGTGTGTGTGTGTGTGTGTGTGTGTGTGCGTGCACGCGTGTGCAAGTGTGGATAAGTGAAACTGAATATGTGCAACATCACTGTGTCAATGTGGTTATGTGTGTGCGCTAGTGTGTGCTGATCCATGGCTTCATTCAGTGTGTGTGTGAGCCGAGAAAAGGTCATGATTACCACTAGCAGCCAATAAGAGAAACCCAGGGAGAGAGGGAATAGGAATTGGCTAACAGTGACCTTTAACAAACCTGACGTTTTATCTTGTGTGTGGCTTTCCAACTGCATCCTGCAGCACTGTGAGACACTGCTCTTCTTTCTCTGCCTCCTCTGGGCCTTCACACTGTTTTCCATTAGTGCATGTACCAGGGAGCGACTGATTCAGAGCATTCATCACATGCTTTGATTGTTCACTTTGTGACTGATGCTGTGTTCACAATGGTAGAAGTAGAGCGGCTGATGTAAATCAGTGTAACATAACAAATTTAAATTTGCCAGGCAAGGAACACACAATATTACTAAATCGATTGAATAGTTGTTGAAGAGATCTTTAGTTGACATAAGTTTAGAGAAAGACGCTGCTGACTCTAGTCAGTGGTCAAGAAAGTGTACAATCCTATAGTAGATTTTTGTTGCTCCAGCTATTCATAAATCCGTGAGGGAGTCCCTACTGAGATCTGTAGAAGTAAGATCCCATAATTGATTTAATTAAATCAACTCATCCTTTTAAAGTTATATTTTTAAGGCATTGTTGCCTTTATTTTTGACAGTACAGTTGGAGACAGACAGGGAAGTCAGGGAGAGATAGAGGGGAGGACATGCAGCAAATAGCCACTGCAGTTAGTAAGTCCATGTGGTATGCACTCTACCAGGTGAGCTACCAAGGCACCCCGAATCAACTGAACCTTAACTCTGTGTGTTTGTCAGTTTCAAATCCAGTCAACTGTTCCTGATTGAAGGACAGTGTCATGATGGACAGTTATTGTGTGTTCTCACATGTGACTCATTCTATTTTTATCTTTATCTTAACTTCCACGACACATTTTTGTGCAATGGATCATCATTGAGCCTGGTGTGAATGCGGCAACTAGACATATAGTACAGCAATAACTGTAATGTCCTGGCTTACATGCATGACAGATCACACTTGAGACTTTATTACAAGTGAAATGATAGAGCTGGATATCAAGCATATAGCTCTTGTCAGTGTAACTGAACAGTTCTTGACTGTATTAGACATCTTTGAATTAATCACCTACTCAGCTCACAATGTTTTTTGCAGTGGTAGTTATTTGTCAAACTGGTTTGCGCCACTCAGCCAAGTAATGTTTTAGCTTATTGTCGTTTGTAGCTCTGTCCAATCAGAGAGTAAATTAAGGCAAACACAAATTAGCTATTCTTAATTTACAACCTAATATTTCACCATTTCTGGCTTAAGCTATAATTTTCTGGTAGCATCAAATAAGACAGTGGGTCTGACAGCAATGCATGCTGGTAATTATTATATAGCACTGGATGAAAAGGAAACTGTAAACAGTATAACAGAGGAAACAAATGAATGAGGGGATTCATTGAATTAATCACATACTAGTTCTTTGGGTAATTAGTTTTTTAATTAGTAATTAATAATTAATCCTTTATTTCTAGTGGGACACAGAATCCACCTGTGGACTGTTCTCCGGGATCAACTGCTCACTGCTCGTTACCATGAAAATAAGTCAGGTTTATTAATACTCAATAAAGTTGTGACTCAAACACAGATTCTCATTGGGCTGGGTATCGAACTTTGATACTTTTATGGACTGACCGAATTGGTTTGATACAATTGAGGATCAAAAAATGCCATTCGATTCCAAATTTCAATACCTCAGGAGTAAAACTCATCAGCGTCAGTGAGCCAATAACAACAAGTCCTCCAACCTGAACAACCATACAGGTTGTTTCTTTTCAACCCTCTGATACGACCCATAGGAGAGTCTCCTGAAATAGCATCTCTACGGTGGCAGGTGTACTGAACCTTGGTTGCCATAGTTACAATAATAACAACGTGGTTAACTTTGTCGTATGGTCATGGATAATAGAAACAACATAAAGTATTTCCACATGGGAATCCAACACCACTCTCCTGTGTCACATTCATCCATCCACCACCACCTCCTCTCTTTATACTACGTCACCACACTTTTCCCTTTGCTCCTCTCATCATTACTGCAACTACTAACTAGATGTTGCCTAGCATCAAAACGTAACTATGGGTCATAACAGCCTGACGCACAGATGACCTATGGGCTCGGCGACATTCTCGCCAATAAGCATGCAGCTTGCATGGACCATGAGCTAATAATGCTGGCGATTGGCTGTTTATTTACACAAACGTGCGAGTATGTAAAGAGAATAAGCTTAAAAATAAAACAAAAGTAGAATTTAAATTTGTACCGTAATGTGTATTGTAATTTTCTTTTTGTTCAAATTAATTTGATGAAATTGGCATCTAAAAAAGTATCATTGAGAATCGGTATCGAAGTCAAGGCATCAGATTCTCATGAGCAAGTGCACATGACCTTTCCCAGTAGAAATGTGAAGAAAAAGTAGAATACCTGGTTTCCTTTAGAGCCAGCCTCTCCTCTCTCCCCCTAAAAATACAACACTGAAGATTAAAACGTGTCCATCTTACAACTTGTCTTCAACGCTGACAGTGAGACATCTAAATAAAATAACGCTGTTCGAGGAATTAATACAAGAAAAAACAGCATCAATGTCCTGTTGACAATATACTGTATGGAAAACAAAACGCAGCGTGTTAAACAGACTGATCCGGATTAGGATTGTTTGTACTGTATTTGTGTGCCTGGGCGTGCTGCTTTTGAAGTGTGAAGGACAACCTTCAGCGTCATTAAAATTAATCATGTCATCTAAGCTAAAAATGAATAATGCATTAACAAGTATGTATAAAGTTAAGCTGTCAACATTTCCACAGTACAACATGTAAATCATGTAGGCTCCTGACAAGTGAGGCTATAAATCATTCATAAAGTGGCGCCTTTGCAGCCAAATATAGACTTCATTTAGTGAAAACAAAATGATGCAAGTCATTTATTTCACTTTTCCTGTACACTGTTATCAGCATTTATTCCTTATAGGCTTCCTCACCTTATGACCCTTGAACCCCGGCAATCCCATGCCGCCTGGCAGCCCTGGAAAACCTGGCTCCCCTGTTGAGCCCTGGAAAGGTAAAAGGTTATTGATCTTTGGGAATCGATGGATAGAAAGAAAAGGGTTTAAAGAAAAGCTTAGTAGGATTAGTAGTATCCCCCAATTATTTTACACTGGATTTAAAAAACATGGTATCCATCATGTCTTTGTCTGGAATCCGACAGGGGAGGCATCTTCATCCAGCAGATAAAACAGAGAACTGAGATAAAATATCTAAAAAGTGGTCAAAAACATGAATTTGAGCAGTTTCAGGTGTGTATGTGTGTGACTAGCACTGCAATCCCCTGCAATAATTTCCCTGCTGCCGCAGTGAAAAAGAAAATGTTCTTAGCCAGTAATCAAGGCTGAATAAATATGGATTATAAAGATGCTTGAGTGAAAAACTTTTCAAGCACTCCACCAAACCATCACTTCCAAAAAATCTGCTTTGAAGGATGGCACATCCAAATAACCAAGGTTACCTGTAATTAAGTAGCACGACAGAGATAACTCTGAGTCTTTTTTAACATCTCAATAGTTGACATTTATGGGCGTAACTGCTCAGAAACATTTCGCTAAACAATGAAGTGGCATTAAAAGTGTAGCTGTCACTCATCAGGAGGATTCAAACTGCAGGATGGTGAAAAAAAGAAGAAGCTGGCTGTGAAAAGACACAGAGAACGAGGTTGGTTTAGAAAAGAGAAAAGGCAAAAGCTGTCACCCTGATCTCACCCTGATCCCTCGGGGGGAATTAGCAGTGCCCCTACTAATCCCACCACCATGTTGAATTCTCTCAAACTCACACTTTCATGTGGGCGGCAGTGCAGACTTGCTAGGACTGGGGAATAGTGCTAATAGCTTACATGCTATTGACAAGACAATGCTGGGGGAGACACTCAATCATGGCAGAGTCACATGACCACACAAACCGTTAACCCTCCTCTTGGACTTGATTTTGAGAGTAAGTGAGACACAAGGGGGACTAAATGTCAAGTACAGGAGACAATACTAATTCCACCAGCTTTTTCACATTGCAGTATTTGCTGTGCTGGAGTTTGGCTTTATGTAAGATGCTCCATCCTTTGGTGCAACTCAGACTCATTTCACCAGATTGAAGTTTATTCCAGCATCTCAGAATCAACTCTGGGACAAGTGTCTCTGATTTCTTCTGTCCTGGCAAAGACCTCCATTAGGTTAAAACACAGCTAATGAAATCTTAAAGGAGCACATGATTATTCTAGACCTCTTTTTTTTATTTTTTATAAATTGTATTGAATTACATTCAGTTGTGTTTAGTTGGTGGTTTGAAGGAGATATTTGTAAGTTTTGCTATCGCTACATAGCCAATGTTAGCATTAAGAGCTGTTTACTGAACAGTCTTGCCAAGAGCTTCAGCTATTGTTGCATTTACAATGCAAGAGGTTGTAATGTTATCTGAGCAGTGCTATTTCTTCAGAGCAGACGGATGCTACAGTGG